TTCTCAATTGCTTCGAAAGCAGTAAACAACTTTTTATCAGAACACACATGCCTCATAGTTCCGGTATCAATCCACCACTCTTTTGGGTTAAAACCCACCATGTTCACTTCAGAAATAACGGCTGCGAGATTCATCTCCGACACATCATGTGTCATGTAATCAACCACATTTGCTTCTTTCTTATTCTTTGGGAATATGCACTCCAAAGACTTGTGACCCACTTTGTCACAATTGAAGCATTTTACTTTAAACTTCCTTTTAGAAATTCCACTTGTAGGTCCTAGCTTGGTCCTTTTGCCACCGGATGACCCATGCTTAGTTTTGTAGGTCTTACTGCTTTGACCATGCTCCACAACATTAGCTATAGCAACACCAGGATTGAACAACTTCTTCTCGGAACTCTTGTTGTTTTCTTCAATTCGAAATCTAACAATTAATTCTTCGACGTCATTTCCTTTCGTTTGTACTTCAGATAATTCTTGAAATCTTTCCACGCAAGGGGCAATTTTTCAATAATTGTAGTCACTTGGAAAGTTTCATTCAATATCATCCATTCGGCATGAATTTCGTGATGAATCACTTGGAGTTCTTGCACTTGACTGATTATTGTTTTGGAGTCCACAATCTTATAATTTAAGAATCTTCCAACAATGAACTTTTTAGCCCAGGCATCCTCAATTTTATATTTTCGGTCCAAATACTCTCACAGCTCCTTAACAGTTTTCATAATACTATACACGTTGTATAACGAGTCTGCTAAGTTGTTCATAATGTAGTTTCGATACAAAAAATCCGAATGGTTCCAAGTATCAAATGCACTAATCGTTTGAACATCTCCCTCACCCTCATTGAGTTTTGGAGTACTTTCAATCAAGAATCTTGCAAGATTCAAGGTGGTCTGATAAAATAGCATTTTCTGATGCCACCATTTCAAATTCAAACCATTGAATTTCTCTGATTTTTCTCCATGATTAATCAGAACATTAACGATATGACTAGTTGTTTAACTCACAACATGACTTGGCAACCTAACCACAGTGTGAGCCACAACAGACTTGGCTCTTGAGTCATAGTAGAGCCTACAGCCTGATTTTCATTAGCGACAACTTGGGTTATATCCATGTTGGTTGATTCGGTTACCATTTTGTCATCGTCGTCTGAAAATGAAACAAACATTAGTTTCTCAATAAACAAAATGAAACAACTTATCTATAATAACGAATCTGTTTTAAGTTTGTTAGATAAGTGTTTCAGTACTAGATACCGAATTTGCATACTGGATACTGTATTTGTAGGATAGATACCATATATGCAGTGAATTTAAACACTGAATTTCCACATACCGTGTTTGCATGTAATTTTGAATATAAAAAATTCAATTATATATAACGGATTTAAAGAGAACAACAAAATATCAATATGCAAACAAGTAACAAATAAGGAAAAAAATGAATTAAACAGTGAAACTTTTAATTCGAGGCCTGTGTTACACACAGTTTCCTTAAAATAAATTCGCCCCATTACTGTCTGTACTTGAGGTTTAACTTAAGCGTTTGTTTCCCAAGATATAACGGTAAACCTGTAGAGTTCGAGCACTATAGATTCTACTTCGACGAACTAACTTCATATCTGAACAATGTCACCACCAAGACCTTGAGAGACAGTAAAATATGTATGCAGACAGATGACAATTTCTTATGTTTTGGAACTATAATGCAGACTGTATTCTTCATGCCTGGAATATTGGAAAATGAGGCTTTGTATAGACTTAAGCCCATTAAATTTGTCCATAACTTAATGGCAATAATCATTAGAGTTTCAGAAACCAAAAGTCGAGGCAATAACCATTGGAGTTTCAGAAATCAAAAGTCATTTATTGAAAGTAAAAAAATTAACAAAATGTAGGCCATCCTAAGGAGCCAATTTTTGGTCAATTCGGTTCGACATTTGTGTATGCAGGCCATGTTCGCACACAAGTTTAAGATCCGAAGTCTAGTTCGGTCCATGATTTGCACCCCCTGTGCACGCACGTAGAGAGAGCTTCTATGCTACACATGATTACACACTTTGTCTGTGGTTATTGCTTTCATAAACTTCCTATGTGAGATAAACTCAAATTTAGTTTTCCATCCAACATAAATCATATTTCAATGGTTTACTTTGAACTCAAATTTCTCATTCACCCGAGCTTCTTTTTTCAGCAAATAAATACATGATTTCGATGTACTCACTGAGGAGAACGCAAATCAATCTTTATCTTCCAAAATAACCAAACGGGTCACACTCAAAACTCATGCCAAAGTCAGCCACATACTCATTTTTCCAACAAAAGTTTCAAGCAGCTAAATTAGAATGTGCGCGAGACAAGATGAACGGTATTGGTATTTTTTCACAGATTTCTTCATTTTTCTTCTATTTTTTTAAAGAATGCATACAATGGGGGTGGGGATGACCGATAGGGGATTGGTTAAAGAAAATAAAGTGTTAGTAACAAATGAAAAGTTTGAGGGAATTCTACAAGTGTTTCAAAAGCTTGGAGTTTTTGTTGCAATTAGAAGGTATATTGTCATTTCACTACTTTTTATTGAGAAATTTGATGAAAATTGTGATTTCCACAATGAAAGGTGAAAATGCAAAAGAATGAAACGTATGAACGTTTTCCTCAATGAACTCTAAACGTAATTGTGCTAATAACCCCTGTATTTATATTCTCTAGTTTTTGCCATAGATTCAAATGGTTGTGCATTCGATTATCCGTCATGCTTGAAGTTTTACTCTAATTCACTACTTTGCATTGAACTGTCGAGAATTATTTACACAATATGTCGAATTGTCGGCAACTAATGAAATATTTTGCCTAGTTAACTACTTTGTCTGACATGTTATTTCTACACGACTAATACCTACAAACGATAATGGCACGAAACTGATAAATATAATATAAAATGTTTAATGACATCATTATGTGATACAAAATACAACTATTACCCTTGAACAACATTCCTATTTAGGTGCTTAAAGTTCGAACGGGGTTCGAACATGTGACCCGGTTATGGTCAACTCTCTCACACCGATTGCATTTCTTGATACATATGCTAAACTCATATTATTACTCATACCTGAAAAGTTGAATTGCAATGATAAGACTTTTGCACAATCAATATGTAGGCATTTCAAAACATGAAAGTGTCGCATTCAAATATTTAAATCCAAGCAATAGCAAACAGGTGAAACCGACTATTGAAATGTGTATCCCCACATTTCAAAAATGTTGAATTCAACAGTTCTTTTCACCAATTTAACAATCAGAACTAGCTAGAAGCATTTAATAGGTGTGATTGGAAGACATTCTTCATAACATTATCTCTTGGGTATCTTTATTAAAAAATATTTCAAGAACCAAACTAATTTAATGAATAATAATTTGGAAAATTTCAAATACATATGATCATGTTGTACTTAACAATTCAAAAATAATACATTATAAGATAAAAATATAAATAATTTTACCAACCTCTCAAAGTGGAAGATGGATCCACTAATAATTTCTTCTTGTTGGAATGGAGAAGACGTGAAGAAAGTTGAGGTTTTTTGTATATAAAAATCGATTTATACATTCATAAGATTTTTTTTATTTTTATTTTTTCTTGCTTTACATTTCATATTACCCATTGTATTATACATATATTCAATGATTTCTAATACACAACTCAAAACATCACATCATGACATTAATAAGCATTCGATACAAGCATTAATTAGCATTAAATGTTTTTAAAAAAGTATATCTAAGGATGATTTGGATATTTCACATCCAAAAAGTGACATTTTTTTTATTTTAGCACCATTTGTAATGTATTTTCAAATTTTGTAACATCTATTAAAATGTCCTTTTATGTATATCGCAGCACAATCAAGTTTTCTTTGATAATAAAGACCGCAATGTATTTAGATAGTATTAAAAGAAATATAGACGTAATATTCAATATTACTATCGAACATGTTTGTACAGATAGCAAATGTTGTTGTCCCGTGACGCATCACTTGACCCAACATTGGCGGTGCTTTGGACTAGCAGATCCAAATAGACCACTTTAGAATCTTAACCTGATTTACACCTCAACTCGAAGCTTCCAGGATGTGAACTAGTTACGACTTTAAGGAATTGGAGATTGAAAATTAATTTTGAGATGGACAAACAACTAAAATACATAAACAAAAATACAATCCTTAGCGACCAACGCGTTTTGTTAGACCTAATGCACCTCATCAACATAGAAGGTTTCGACCTAAATGCTTGCACGAACACTACAAGTATCCACGGATGAATCGTGTACACCAGTGTGCGTGCGTTTCGTCTGTGGTTTCTGATTTTTTTTAACCTAGGGTGGGATGGGGTGGTTATTGAGTAAGTTTTGACACTTTCTTGTTACCGTCCCATGTGGATAGCATGAATTTCTCAGAAGATTCTGCTGGGGCAAGGATGTTAAACAGTTACCATAATGAATGCAATTTTGTTAAGAAAAGGTTGTGTTTTAGGACCAGAATTTGTGCCTGGTTTTTGCAGGCCCATGAGAAAAGGATGCCTTCAAATTGCCACTCTATTTCTGTCTTTTTCCATCTCCATCATTTTTGTTCCCACACAAACTCCTTTATCAAAATTACTCACCTAACACTTTTATGCAAGTGAAATTGTTCAAATTATTATTGAATTAACACGTATGACGTAACTCGTGTGTATTCGGTAAAAATTTTGATAAAGTAGAAAGATAGATCGGAAGTGACAAGACCTTATTGTTTCACATTTCTCAACAGTTCCATCTGAGGATAGAGAGGTTACAAAGAAAAAGAGGGGTAGGGAGATGACTTCAAAAGAACTGGTTTTGATTTTTCCTTGTTACCCAACTGAAAGAATTTCTACTGTTTTGTATTCTCAACTCAAAATAATCACTTAAAAAGTGAATTCAAGAATCCACTTTTAGCTAATCTCCCTGGCAAATTCAAGTGGCTCCAACTCCAAGAAAGTCTATAAATGGTGGTGCAATGGTCTCACCATTTCTTTCCTCTGTGAGTGTTGATGATGATGCAGTATTTTCAGTGACAGAAACCTGATGTGGCGGTGCTGTAAAATCTGAAGGGTAGCGATAGTTTGACTGTTGCATTGCAGTAATTAGGGAGCTGGGGTAATGTGGATAAGAATGTAAAATGTTGGTTTCAACCATTGGACCATCCCAAGATTTTCCCTGGTCCAAAATGGACATCATCTCACTTGTAATGGGACCTGTGTAAAACAAACACCAAAAGATAATCTCAATCAACAAAAAGTGCATGTTTGATATAAAGTACTAAATAGGATTGGAGTGTGTAAACAAAAAATTAGCTTGATTGAGGCGAAAATGAAAGTGAAATCAGGCACAGAAATCTGTATGCAAAAACTGCAGGTAAGTAAAAGACCTATAGGAGGACAGGAAGTATTAGGCAGCACACCAGGGACGAGACCAAGAGATGTTTGTGGTGCCCAAAATCCGTTGTAAGGAGGGATATTGAACATCTGACTGGAAGTTGCTCCTCCACCACCATCACAACCACCGTGGACACCGTTTCGAGTCGAAAACTGGAAAGGAGCAATTAGATCACCGATATTTCTATTGGGGTTCACACAATAAGAGGGCAATGTTGATTGAGTTTTGAGAGCTGCATCTGTATTAAAAAGGGGAAGATCATCTTCCATTGATCTTTTGCATACAAATTGGCCCATTTTTCTTCTTCTAAAAGCACTGGATTGTTCTCTATACTTTCTAGCCATTATAACATGCCAATGATTCTTCACTGCATTGTCTGTTCTTCCAGGAAATAGCCTTGCTATCATTGACCATTTGTTGCCATATAGTCTATGAGCAGCCATTAGTCTCTCTTCCTCTTCATCAGTAAATGCCCTTCTGTTTATCCTTGGATCCAACTGGTTAAACCATCTTAACCTACAGCTTTTCCCTTCATATTTCCACATAATACAGAAAGTCATTAAAAAATTCTTCAGCAACGAAAACGACAAACTAGAAGAAATATTTTACGAATAGTACAAGAAATATTGGTTTTCCTCAAATTCTTACCTGATCTTCCTTCTAGCTTCTCTGCAATGAGGTTCCAATTTTGAGGGCCGTAAAGGGCAACGAGTTCCTTGAGTTTTGAGTCTTCTGCAGGCCTCCAGTGTCCTCTAGCACACAGTTTTGATTGCCCAGTAGTTGTGTCCTTCCCACTGCTCAATGCATGCATGTTCATCTCATCTTCTTCATTTAAGCTTGCATTTAGATCAATGGATTCATTATTTTCTATAAATCCATCACTAGAATCAGAGGCTTTACCCCAAAAATTATTGTGTCTCCCTTCATCCATATCAGTATCGCAAAAAGAGGCCTCTTGAGAAGAAGACATGGGATTAATTGAAAGAGAACTCAAATCTGCAAAAACCATTCCCACCATTGAAGAAGGACCTAAAGAACGAGGAGGAGTTGAATAACAAGTGGATGAGTTCCCATTTGTGCTGTTTGGTGGATATATAATGCATTTATTTGCCATTTTTAAATTTTTCTTTTCTTTTCTGACAAATTGTACACTGTTACAAGGTCATCAGCTTCAGCTTCATGATCAGATGAAAAGGGAATACAAATAAAGATTTAGGAAGACGAAAGGTTTGACAGATGGTGAAATGAAGGGAGAAACTGAGTTTCCGCTGTAGGATTGTGAAAACTTGGCAGCCAAAAAGTGTTTCTAACAGAACCCTCTACATAGACTTCTCTTTCTCTTACCATTTGGGGAGTGTGTTCCAGTGTATAAATATTACTAATAATCTCCTTGACCTAGATAGTTACCCCACAATTCAGTGTGGATGATAAATTGTTATTTTTGCCTCAAATTATTAGGAAATATTAAAGCCCTGTTTGATCCACATTGTTCTCAAAATTTATTATTTTAAAACTCATTTTCAATCACACATTTTTCAGTAAAATAATCTTACACGCAAATTCAAAAAAAATTCTTATTTTTTAATCACGTATTTTCCACAATATCACATCATAACATACATTCTTTTCTAAAAAAATGTGGATCAAACACCCCTTAACTTTCACTTATTAGTTTGATTACTATGCCCTTGTTTGAGGGGAAAGTGTATTTTACAAAAGTGATTTCGGGAGAATATGTGGTTAAAAAAGAAAGAATTTTTTTAAATTTATATGTAAAATTATTTTATTGAAAAATGTGTAATTAAAAATGAGTTTTGAAAAAACAAAATTGAAAAAAAGGTGCTGAAACAAGGACCATATTTGTTTAATGAGACTTGGGTTTAGTAATAGTAAAACTTGCTACTTAGAATGACTAGTTAAAGCTACAGGTAAACATTTCATACGTAATTATTAGACATGATTGAAAAGTACAATAAGTTTGTTTTGTCTCAAAAAAATGTAAACTTTATAATAAATGATACAACATAGTAGCAAAGCAAATAGATTTTTTAATTCAAGGCTGATCACTATTTATTTACAGATTTCGTGTTATAAAAAGGATGAGTCGCATCTTTGATGGCCCCCACCTACCCTGTTTGAGACTTGGTGAAAGAGATAAATCGCAGGTTACAGATTTCGTGTTATATATTAGACATTTGCTGGAAAAGAACATGAACATAACTTGCACGCGATAGGCACTAAACATAATTTTTATAAATAAGTCAACGGTTAATATTTTTGAATCATATTTATCGACGTACCATAAATGTTATGGAAGTCATAAGCTAAAAATTACACAATCTTTTACCAAATATTAGATTTGTAAGTGCCAAAACAAAATTGTAAATGCACTAATAACAATAAAATAACAATTAGAACCAAACATAAAAAATTGAAAACACGATTTTCCTGGCGTCTATATTTATATACCTTGAAGGTCTTATTCTACGTCCCCTTCAAAACTTTACGTGATTTCAAAATTAATTCTCGATAAAATATAAAAGTTTGTCCCGATTTCTAACAAAGTGGTCTCATATTGAAAGAATTGGGGAGACATTCATACAAAATTTTTACACGTAAATACTCCTTAATTTTGCCAAATAAGCAAGAATTGTCTGTATTTTAGTTTTTCACCTATTAGGGATGGCAAAAAAAAAAAAATCGTTCAACCCAATACCCTTGCGACCCTACTTAAGATGGGGTGGAGATTACCCAGCCTAACCTGATAAACGAGGCAAGGGTCATTGTCCCGAACCGGATACGGGATGGGTACGAGAAAGATAGTCATCGTCCTGCTACCCGCCTTGTTTAAAGTCAATTTCAAATTTAAATTTTTTATTAAACAAAAATAATAGATTTATCATATTTTTAAAGAGAACATAAATTTTTTTAACGAATTGGAAAAAAAAGTAATAATATTTATTAACTAAAGACATAAAAAAAATAAAAAATTAATTAAATTAAAATTTAATGGGACGGTCCCTGCCCACCCCGAACTCACCTCGAACATATCCCGTCCCGCTTTAAATGGGTATGGAGATGGTGTAAGGTAATAAAAATACCCGACTGGANGGGCCAGAAAAAATGCTTTATAGGCCAATCCTTAAAAAGAATCATTTTATTGGATCAAGGACAACTTTCTTATGTCCCCAATTTTCCTATGCTTCTTAACAAAACATCAAAATCTACATTCAATAACAAGGGACACGTTGTCTTCATTGACACTGTAACGGTAAGCAGCACTTGATCTAATAGGATAATCTTATAAATCGAATTTTCATTTCTTTTTTATTAATTTTACCACTTGTACATTCTTCCTTGAAATCATTGTTGACGTTGCCTTTGTTTTCAAAAAAATTATGAACGAAAAAACTATGTTTTTTAATTGGCAAATGACAGTATGTCATCGGTGAAAATGTACACTTCTTTATTATTTATTTCCAATACCAAACACGCATCACTTTTTCTCTCTAGCCTCTATCTATCCAACTCTATTGAGAGTAGGGTTTGAGGGTTTTAGGCTGTCTTTCTAAACAATGACAAGAAAGACTCCAACGTGATGTCTGATGCTTGCTTGAGTTTGGACAGATTATAGACACCAATCTTATCAAATTGAAGCATTGACACACCAAACTTGTCAATGGAAGTAAATGCCTTTGCCCTCCAATCCTATCAATCCATGATGTGAATTTTAACTTAAACGTGTATCAAAATTGATTATGACAGCATTACAATAAATTTTACATTGTATAAATTATTTCACCGTGCAATTGAGTCAGTGCTCTTTACTTTACTTTTCTTCTTTGTTTTTATGAACTTAAATTTTTTGCAATTTGGACACTAAATTGTCTGTTACCAAGTTAACAACACTGAATTGCTTCATCTATGTTTTATCTCGACAATATTTATGCTGGTCAACTAACACATTAGCTATTTTATCAGCTAAACTAACAGACGTGAATAAGGTAAACCTATTAATTTCAGTACTCAATTAAAACTGTTGAAAGTTTTGTTCAAAATTAATAAATAGTTTCTGGAATAAATAATGGATTTGAGGGTTAAAAAAACTTGAAATCTGGTGTCTTTTTGGTTGGAAAGTTGCCACTTTTCATTATATTATGGCACCATTTGGTGTAGTTTTGATTTGAGGCCTATAAATAGGTGATAGATGATCAATACAAAAAAAAAACTACTTGAGATAAATTATATTCCACAAGAAAGATCGAAACCTCTTTATTCAGATTCAAAATTCTATTTTGTGTTTTTAAGTTTTGAAGGAACTTCACTAGTATTTAAGTGTTTATTCATTTTCAAGACTTGATAAATCCTGCAAACTATTTGCCAAAAATCCCTTTACATCAAATTCAATCCGAGATAGGGCAAATATCGTCTGAGGACAACGATTAAATATTTAAGCCTTCATCCATTATTTCGATTTTCTTGTTATTTGTTTCTTCTCCACCCCATTTGTGTGGAAACATTCTTTCTACAACAATTTCAAACGATATTCTGCAATGGAGAATGAAACTACAATGGCGACGATCAAATTGATGAATTAAGATCTTATTCGTCTAAATCGATTTGGTAGGACAAATTTCACAAGATGGCAAGACAAGTTGAAGTTCCTTCTCACGGCGTTGAAGATTTTCTACATTCTTGATACAGAATTGACACCACTTTCTGATCCAATGGATGAAGATACCGAAGCCGTAAGAATGGAGAGACAAAAGCTTTAAAAGGATGAACTCATAAGTCACGATCATATTTCTAAAGCTCTATCCGACCGTTTGTACGATCTCAACACAAATACACCATCGACAAAAGAAATATGAGATGTTTTGGAAAACAAGTATAAAGCCAAAAGAAAAGAAAAAGGTACTAAGAAATTCCTAATATCAAGGTATTTTGACTTCAAATTCCTTGATAACATTCCTCTCATTCCCCAAGTATATGAGTTAGCTTGTCAACAAGTTGAAAACGATCAAAACTAAAATCCCAGAACATTTTCAAGTAAGAGCAATTATTGCGAAACTTCCTAAGACTTGAGAAGGATATTATACAGTTTCGAAGATTATTCTTTGGAACAAGTGTAAAAGCATCTTCAAATTGTAGAAGAATCAAGGACAAAAGATAAGAATGACAATTCTTATGAAGGCACTTCAAAAGCCAATGCTGTGGAAAAAACTGAACCTTCAAATAAATCCAACAAGTGAAAACTTTCCAAAAACTTTAACGAATTTAAGAAGAAATCCAAAAGAGGCTATTTTGTATGTGGAAAACTCGGACATTATGTAAAGGAATGTCGACACCGAAAGCAAAACAACTCCGAAGGAAAAGTGAACTCCATCAAAAAAGGTAATATTATGGCCACCGTAAGAGAGATCAATGCAATCAAGGGAAAAGTTATTGGTTATTGGTATGATACATGTGCAATTGTGCATGGATCATATGATAAATTATTATTCAAGATCTATTATGAAGTAGATGGAGATCAAGATATTCAGATGGGTAACGAAGGACGATCCAAAATGGTTGGGAAAGAAAATGTAGAGATTATCTTCACTTCCGAAAAAATCGTTTCTTTAACAAATGTAATATATGTTCCTGAAATGAATAGGAACTTAGTGGTAATCTCTTAGAAAAATCGGACATAAAAAATGTCTATGAGTCCGATAAACTTGTATTATCCCTAAATGAGAAATTTTTGGAAAATGAATTGTCAAACTCTGTACTGTTAACAAAATTATTAATAGGGATGATTTTGTTTATATTGTTGACTTATTTACTTTATGGCATGCTGGATTATGTCACATATGTAAAAGTACAATGAAAAGAATGTTAAAAAGTGATCTAATATCATATAATGAAAATGATGCATTTAAATGTAAAACATGTGTAGAATCTAAAATGAGTAAGAAAATTTATCAATGTGTCAATAGGACTTCCAATATTTTAGAATTAATCAAACGGACATATGTGAATTAAATGATATGTTAACTAGAGGTGGAATTATATATTTTATTATCATTATAGATGATCACTCTAGATATATTTTTATTTATTTAATGAAACACA